GTTGCAATCCCGTCTCTAGACTAGTGATAGACTCATCATTGAGATTCACTGCTCATTCACTCCTTCACTTGATGGCATCTGTCTCAGTCTGACATCATTATGAAATAAATAATTAATTTTCAATAATTGAAAATTATTGAAAAATAATGGGGGGGGGGGGGGGGTCTTATATATATATATATATATATATATATATATATATATATATATACTCACCTAAAGGATTATGTAAGGGGTGTACAGTCAAAGACCCAGAACCAGATATGAAGAATGAAGACCCGGAGTCAGAATTATAAAAAATTAAAGAAAAGTTTTACTGAAGATAGTTTGCATTTTCATCAGCAGAAGTCAGCTTCAAGACTCACACAGGAGTTGGTAGGCCGCCCCGCTTACAGTTACAAAGATCACAGCAGTTATACCATTTCCAAGGTCTAAGCTACGTCATTGCTTACAGGTTGAATGATTCTCATTGGCTAAGAAACATTAAGAGCCTTAACAATTTAACACATGTGAGGAGATAGGGGTGCCTATCGCCATTAGTCAAGATAGTTGTCGTCCACTCATTAGATTTAGGTCTGTGGTGGCCTCGCAGGTTAGAGAAGGGCGCCGGGGTGTCTGGTCCGAACGTCCAGAACCTACATAGAATGTCATACGCACACACACACAAATAACAGACACTAGCAAATAACAGCTCCCATCAAGGCTGAAGAGAGTCTGAGCTCCTTATTATCAGTTAAGTATACCAAAACATAATGCTAAAACATTCACTCGTTTGGGAGAAAAACAGATCACTGGCATTTACTCCCAAGGAAGGAAATATACTGGAAAGAATACATTTTAATACAACAATTAAAGTTTGATAGTAACGCTCAATATAGCTTGACTATATGTCCAGCGAAGAATCATATGTGCCCACGCTGCCTTTAGGACCCTCTAACCTTTCTACTGATCCCAGAGAAAGAGACAAACGGCCTTGTGGGTTACGTGGCCTTCGTGTCCTGCGTGTACTACGTGCAATCTCAAAGTAAGATTGGAATGCACCTAAAAGAAACTGGTTACTTGCATCCATGCATTTAAGAAAATATATTTTCACAAGCACAAGAATATAAAAATTATTATGTGATAATGAATATATTTGATTATTGATTTTTATAAAGGAAGTATATAACCATTCAAAATGATATATGATTATATATGTATTTGAAGAGGCAAGGGATTTTGACCAACCCTTCAATTATAAGGAACACCATACTAATACTGTGTTTGTCCCCCTTTCGCCTTTAGAACTGCCTTAATTCTACGTGGCATTGATTCAACAAGGTGCTGTAAGCATTCTTTAGAAATGTTGGCCCATATTGATAGGATAGCATCTTGCAGTTGATGTAGATTTGTGGGATGCACATCCAGGGCACGAAGCTCCCGTTCCACCACATCCCAAAGATGCTCTATTGGGTTGAGATCTGGTGACTGTGGGGGCCATTTTAGTACAGTGAACTTATTGTCATGTTCAAGAAATCAATTTGAAATGATTCGAGCTTTGTGACATGGTGCATTATCCTGCTGGAAGTAGCCATCAGAGGATGGGTACATGGTGGCCATAAAGGGATGGACATGGTCAGAAACAATGCTCAGGTAGGCCGTGGCATTTAAACGATGCCCAATTGGCACTAAGGGGCCTAAAGTGTGCCAAGAAAACATCCCCCACACCATTACACCACCACCACCAGCCTGCACAGTGGTAACAAGGCATGATGGATCCATGTTCTCTTTCTGTTTACGCCAAATTCTGACTCTACCATCTGAATGTCTCAACAGAAACAGAGACTCATCAGACCAGGCAACATTTTTCCAGTCTTCAACTGTTCAATTTTGGTGAGCTCTTGCAAATTGTAGCCTCTTTTTCCTATTTGTAGTGGAGATGAGTGGTACCCGGTGGGGTCTTCTGCTGTTGTAGCCCATCTGCCTCAAGGTTGTGCCTGTTGTGGCTTCACAAATGCTTTGCTGCATACCTCGGTTGTAACGAGTGGTTATTTCAGTCAAAGTTGCTCTTCTATCAGCTTGAATCAGTCGGCCCATTCTCCTCTGACCTCTAGCATCAACAAGGCATTTTCGCCCACAGGACTGCCGCATACGGGATGTTTTCCCCTTTTCACACCATTCTTTGTAAACCCTAGAAATGGTTGTGCGTGAAAATCCCAGTAACTGAGCAGATTGTGAAATACTCAGACCGGCCCGTCTGGCACCAACAACCATGCCACGCTCAAAATTGCTTAAATCACCTTTCTTTCCCATTCTGACATTCAGTTTGGAGTTCAGGAGATTGTCTTGACCAGGACCACACCCCTAAATGCATTGAAGCAACTGCCATGTGATTGGTTGATTAATGAGAAATTGAACAGGTGTTCCTAATAATCCTTTAGGTGAGTGTGTATATATATATATATATATATATATATATATTTTATACAATTTGGATTTCATACATTCATTTCTTATTCAAACAATAAGAATATTTTTCATCCTCATCACCAAAATGTATTTTAGGTGGACAGATTAATACAGTACAAAGAACGTTAAAAAAAACAAAATAACATGGAAAATAACAATGTATTTTCTGTTAACCAAATTATTTTTAATCTTCGCTATTGCTTTAATGCAAATGAACAAGCGCGCCGTTATTTGTTGCGTATGACGGGCATGTTCAAGTTAGTCAGATATGCGCAGATTCTGTTTAATATATCATGATGACTCACGAGTTGAGTATTTGCGCTAAATCTGCACAGATTTGGCTTACACGAACTTCCCCAGCAAAGTGAGTAAACATAACACGCCAAATTGGCTAGTGATTTGACGGCGTTACCCGCCACAGTTGATTTTTACCCGCAGTTGGCGGGTGTTAATTTCAAACCCTGCAACTACGGATAGTTCATGAAAATAACACAATATACCATATAGTATATAAAAATGAGGAAAAACAAAAACGTGTGTAAATGTGTTGATGACATGGAATCGAACAAAAATCCAGTACTCAAAATGGACTGGAGTATACAGGAAGTGGAATGGATTGTCAAACAAACTTCAAATAATTTTTTCCTTTCCACCCAATTTAACACCTTGCCCAACATCACCGCTTAACACTGGCACAAAGCCTTGTGTTCAATGCAATGAATATGCTCCTGCTGAGTCATTAAATGAGTCATTCCAATAAAATACCAGTGTATTCCTCATCTCTCTGTCAAGGAGACAATGTTCAGAGCCGAGGAATGTTAAACATTCAACAGTCTGCAGAACCATCTGACTGCTCAAGGTCGTGAGAGTGTTTCAAAGAGATGAACGCTGCAGACTCAGCACCCTAAACTTGCAGTCTCAACGGCCTCTTTAGCTAGATTAACTTTGACATTTAGCATGTCTGGGGCACAGAGTACATCTAATTTGAATCACATTATGAATCATTTGCATTTGGCAAAACCGTTAGTTTCTACCAAACCCTTAATCATGCCTGTTGCACTTTATGGCTCAGCTTGAGATTTGTGTCCTGCTGAGTATGAATCTGTTAGGTTGTTTAATCATGCCGGTTTTCTCGCCATGAAAGTCAAGGTGACCGTATGGCGGAAGGTCAGTAAGAGGAATGTGGGCTTGGGGAAAGAATCTACAGAGTTTTAGTCGTCACACAATCAGACTTTGCCGTTTTCATGACTTCCATGATGCATCTCCAGGGGGAGTCCTTGCTGTTGTTTTCCTTGTGGATCTTGACGGTTTTGTCTTAAAATATCCAATGTTTCTCTGTTTCCATCATTTCCTCATCCATATTTGATTAATATACTTCGGGTCAATGACTTTTAAGTATGGGCGGGGATGTTCGGTGCACAAATATAATCTAAGCACAACCAATAAAATGTAGTGTCGCTTGTCCCAATCGCAATTGGTTCGACAAAAACTCTGATCAAAGTGGAAGAGATGTCGAATTATCATGTGTTTGGTTAGGACACAGTGTGAAAGTGAAAGGAGATCACCCAAAAATATGTGTCATCATTACCCACCCTCATGTTGTTCCAAACCTGTATGACTTTATTTCTCTGGAACAAATCCCCATATTTTTACTAAGAAGCATTTTCTTGTTACCAAAAAAAGTTACCATACATTTTCCCACCAAAATAAAAGCTCAGTGGTTTAATGTTTGAAAATTAAGACATTAAGGCACAAATATTAGAATTGTAATTATAATTTTTCTTAGGTACAATTTTTTTGAGAATTTTACTTCTAGTAATATTTATTATTTTGTTTAATATTTAAATGTTATAATAATATTAATAATAATTATTATTATTATTATTATTATTTGTATTAGTATTTTATAGTCATATTGATAAAATCACACAATTAGTCAAATTGTGTAACCCTGAAAACAAGCACCGCAAACCTGAAGCTCTTTAAAAGCACTTTTTAAATTGCATTAAAAAAAATTGCAGTTTTATTTTATTTATTTATTTTCCCAAATTGTGCATCACCAAAACTGCATGGTTATCAACATCCTTCAAAATATGGATTTATGGATTTTTTTTTTCTTCAGTATTTCAGAATTATATCATCCAGAGCATTTACTTCACTCACAAAGCAATTTTTTTCCGTAAATTCCACTGCTACTTCTAACGCACACAAGCTGAATTGTTGCTTTCAGCTTATGAAATATCACTGCTCATCTTCAGTCCTAACTAACTTCTGTGATAAGGGGTTGGCAGCAGTAAAGGCCTGCAACATGGAAACACCGCTCAGCTCTTACTTCCCACAGGAAAGCCTCTTTCATGAGCTAGAGGACTCTTTGAGGTTGATATTAACCATGGCAAGAAAAAAAGTGCAAAATTTCAGGCTTTAATCATTGTTTGTGACATCACTTCCTTTGTAAACAGGAAAATCTTTGTTATTAATGGATCCTTTACATCTCTCTCTGTCTCTCATGTTGTTTGTGGGCCTGGAAATGGGTCTTCTGTTCTCTGTTGTAGCTCGGGGGAGATCTGGGAGGAGGTGTTGGGGGCAGTCCTGCAGTAAGTGAGCTCCACTCTCTCCGCTCGTGTCCGCCTGTCCACTCTCAGCATGCTGTGCACTATTCATTGATTCTTAATAGTTCATAGAATAGATGCCTACCTGTGTGTCCTGCTTTGTTTCTTTCTGTTGCATGCACAAAAGTCCATTCTGCTTTGTGGTGATAAGATGTGTATCTTCTCTAAAGATGTCTTTGAAGTGCTGAAGGGTCATTCTGTGTTTTTTCTTTTTTTGAAAACTTTTCTCAGCTAAAGAAAGAATGTTTTTTTCCTCTGAAGAAAGACAAACATAAATAGTGATGAAAGCCAAACTTTTCAATGCCATTGATGAACGTTTACTAAGTAATCCACTATTTTGTGTAGGGCGGTTAAAATGATAATTTCCATTGATTTGAAGCCAAATTACAAGAGAGCTGTTTCAGCTGTATACAAAGTAACCCACATTTGGTTTTTGACCACTGAACATGTCTCATTGAGATCCCCATATCTCTGGGATTGAACCATAAAGAACTTTAAGAATGGAGATATCAAAAGAAATGCGTATTAAGAATCAGCCCAAGACTGGTTGCCCACTGAAGCTAAGCAGGGTTGAGCCTGGTCAGTACCTGGATGGGAGACCTCCTGGGAAAACCAGGTTGCTGCTGGAAGAGGTGTTGGTGAGGCCAGTAGGGGGCGCTCACCCTGTGGTCTGTGTGGTCCTAACGCCCCAGTATAGTGACGGGGACACTATACTGTCAAAGAGCACCGTCCTTCAGATGAGACCTTAAAGGAGAACTCCGGCGCAAAATGAACCTTTGGTCTAATTACACATTGGTACCTAGTCAACCGTTATCTGAGATTTGTTTTCATGATTATCGAATGTAAATAGTTTTATCTCTAAAAACAGTTTAGCCAGAGATGCTCACGAGTCTCTGAACTAGAGTCCAAGTCAAGTCTCAAGTCTCTGAACTAGAGTCCAAGTCAAGTCTCAAGTCTCTGAACTAGAGTCCAAGTCAAGTCTCAAGTCTTTGAGCTAGAGTCCAAGTCAAGTCTCAAGTCTTTGAGCTAGAGTCCAAGTCAAGTCTCAAGTCTTTGAGCTAGAGTCCAAGTCAAGTCTCAAGTCTTTGAGCTAGAGTCCAAGTCAAGTCTCAAGTCTCTTGTGGTTATAATAAGTGTTGCATCACGTACAGCGACCCATCCAGGCTGCTTAGAACACTTCATAGCTATATATAAGGAATTCAAAGCATGTAATGTTATTATGACTCCTTTATCTATTAGCATACAGTATCAGCTTTAATTTAGTTATATAATCAGTGTAAACAGGCTATTTCAACATGACAAAAACACCAAGAATGCTTTACTTTTAAGTTAATATCTGCATCTGTAAAAATTGAGGTTCTGAAGAAAAAGGACTCTCATGTCTGTTGCTGAATTATAATGAAAGGCCTTGGCTCCTATTGTGCTCGCTCTGTGGAGCTGGAGCCATAAGACCAAATATAGAAAATGTTATAGCCTACCTCACAGCACTAAAATTGACATAGTGCAAAACATCACAGTGTAGCTAAATGCAAAACACTATTTGAACCAAATGATGTGAAATACATGGTTCCTCATACGTTCATTTATTTGTGGCGGCCCGCCACAATATCAACAGAGGCTGACCGCCACACATTGATTTTCGATTTTTATTTTTATTTTTACTAAGCCTATTTAAAATCGTATTTGATTGCAGAGCGCCGTAGCGCATTCGCGCCGCACTACCTCTCGCACGTCTCTCTCTCTCTCTCTCTCTCTCGTTCACTCATACCTCTCGCGCTCTCTCTCCCTCATGGAACACCATGAGGTGCACGCGCGCAGATACCGCATATTTTGCATTGAGCGCTTCTTTTATTTGGCCTGTCTTGTTTGAAGTTTTTAAACCCAAAGCTTACGATGAATGGCACAGCAGCGGCCGGTGCAGTCGACATGTTTGTTTGTTGTCCTCTCATGTGTGGCCACGCGCACGTAGTAAGTGTTATGTAGGCAGGTTTTAGGTAACGGGTCGGAGGGAGGGGAATAACAGAGAGCTCATCAGACGTTTCCTAAAAATAAACATTGTTCACGAGTCCCGCAGCTCGAGTCCGAGTCGAGTCTGAAGTCTTTCGAGGACGAGTCTCAAGTCGAGTCTGAAGTCACTGTGTGTGCGACTTAAGTCGCACTCGAGTCCGAGTCTCAAACTCGAGTCCCCATCTCTGAGTTTAGCCTATAAAGCTAGTATAACGCTAGTATATTGGGCATAGATCAATGACAAATAAAAATCGCTTGTTAATACCACTAACAAGGCTCAAAATAGCCCCACACTAACACGGTAGCATAAAGGTGAGGCCCTACCTTCAAACCGAAGCATTGAGAACTTTGTCAGTGTCCAGACAGTTTAATAAGAAGATATTTAATACATACAGTCAACTTCGCGTATACAGGCAGGAGCCATCTTTGAAATACAGTCTCTACCAGTCGATCTACGAACGCCGATCCAAGCCTGCTGTTCGCGCTCACCTTATCACAACTTATAGCTCGTTCACATCTCACCAGCGCATTTGGATCGGCGTTCGTAGATTGACTGGTAGAGACTGTATTTCAAAGATGGCTCCTGCCTGTATACGCGAAGTTGACTGTATGTATTAAATATCTTCTTATTAAACTGTCTGGACACTGACAAAGTTCTCAATGCTTCGGTTTGAAGGTAGGGACCCTCATTATGCTACCATGTTAGTGTGGGGCTATTTTGAGCCTTGTTAGTGGTATTAACAAGCGATTTTTATTTGTCATTACACTATGCCCAATATACTAGCGTTATACTAGCTTTATAGGCTAAACTGTTTTTAGAGATAAAACTATTTACATTCGATAATCATGAAAACAAATCTCAGATAACGGTTGACTAGGTAACAATGTGTAATTAGACCAAAGGTTCATTTTGCGCCGGAGTTCTCCTTTAAACTGAGGTCCTGACTCTCTGTGGTCACAAAAAATCTCAGGATGTCTTTCAAAAGAGTAGGGGTGTAACCCCAGCATCCTGGCCAAATTTGCCCAGTGGCCTTTGTCCATCATGGCCTCCTAATCATCCCCATATATACTGATTGGCTTCATAACTCTGTCTCCTCTCCACCAATAAGCTGGTGTGTGTTGGGCGTTCTGGCGCAATATGGCTGCTGTCGCATCATCCAGGTGGATGCCGCCCATTAATGATGGTTCTCAGAGGAGATCCCCTCCCCTTCTATGTAAAGCGCTTTGAGTGCAGACAAAAGCGCTATATAAATGTAATGAATTATTATTATTATTATTATTATTATTAATACTTCTTGAGTGACAGGCATGCAAACTTTTTAAAAACTTCTGCGAAAAGTGCTCTTTCCCATTTTTTGACTGTCGCCATTGGCATATAATACAACAAGGATTGCTAAAGTCAGCTGGTGTTACAAATAGACTTACCAATCTCTGTGTAAAAATAAGATAATAACGTTACCATCTTTCTAAAGTCATTTTCCCCCTGTAATTTGTCTCTAAATCTCAGGTGAAATGTGTCCCCGTTCTACAAAATAGTGGATTACTCAGTAAATATTCATCCATAGCATTTAATAATTAGGGTATCTTCTTCATTTTTGTATTTTCCACCAGAATAAAATAAATAAAATTGCCAGGTACCTCTGGTTGTGTTGACACGGAATGACCCTGGAGATTTTTTGTACCTACATTTCTTGTTCGTATCTTTTACTGCTCTTATGTAGTTTGTCCGTAATATTAAAATTCTGCACCTACGTGTAGAAAGCCTGTTGCTTTTGTTTAAAGGGTTACATGAACATGTGCAGAAGTAGATTAAACCCTTTGACCCCTATGTGTGTGTCACGCAGGTGGGCCAAAACTTTATCCCGTCTTCGGTGCCCAACACTTTTGCGCCGTCTCCTACACCTGCTGCTCTCAGCAGTGGGCTCAATGACCTGTTTGAGTTGTCCACAGGGATGTCCAGTGCTACAGGAGGATATGTGACACCTAAAACTGTGAGTGCTACTCGCTTGTATCTTTAAACCATAACCCCTGGCCTTTGTTTCTGATCTTTAAGCAGCCAGCCAACCAATGAAAACAGCCAGAACCTTTCCAAATTCACCAAATTCCTCATACCGAGAAGTGTGTGTAGTCAAGATCAAAGTCAGACCAGAGATGTTGCTTGATTAGTGATTCACCAATTCTGAACTGCAGAAAACTAGTTTTTTTTACCGTAACAATCAACTGACACAATAGGACAAACAAACATTAGCTCTGTTTCAGAACCTAGTGATGGCATTTTAGGCATCACAGTGTAAGGGGTATACAGTCAAAGACCCAGAACCAGATATGAAGAATGAAGACCCGGAGTCAGAATTATAAAAAATTAAAGAAAAGTTTTACTGAAGATAGTTTGCATTTTCATCAGCAGAAGTCAGCTTCAAGACTCACATAGGAGTTCGTAGGCCGCCCCCCTTACAGTTACAAAGATCACAGCAGTTATACCATTTCCAAGGTCTAAGCTACGTCATTGCTTACAGGTTGAATGATTCTCATTGGCTAAGAAACATTAAAGCCTAAACAATTTAACACATGTGAGGAGATAGGGGTGCCTATCGCCATTAGTAAAGATAGTTGTCGTCCACTCATTGGATTTAGGTCTGTGGTGGCCTCGCAGGTTAGAGAAGGGCGCCGGGGTGTCTGGTCCGAACGTCCAGAACCTACATAGAATGTCATACGCACACACACACAAATAACAGACACTAGCAAATAACAGCTCCCATCAAGGCTGAAGAGAGTCTGAGCTCCTTATTATCAGTTAAGTATACCAAAACATACTGCTAAAACATTCACTCGTTTGGGAGAAAAACAGATCACTGGTATTTACTCCCAAGGAAGGAAATATACTGGAAAGAATACATTTTAATACAACAATTAAAGTTTGATAGTAACGCTCAATATAGCTTGACCATATGTCCAACGAAGGATCATATGTGTCCACGCTGCCTTTAGGACCCTCTAACCTTTCTACTGATCCCAGAGAAAGAGACAAACGGCCTTGTGGGTTACGTGGCCTTCGTGTCCTGCGTGTACTACGTGCAATCTCAAAGTAAGATTGGGATGCACCTAAAAGAAACTGGTTACTTGCATCCATGCATTTAAGAAAATATAATTTCACAAGCACAAGAATATAAAAATTATTATGTGATAATGAATATATTTGATTATTGATTTTTATAAAGGAAGTATATAACCATTCAAAATGACATATGATTATATATGTATTTGAAGAGGCAAGGGATTTTGACCAACCCTTCAGTCCCCCGTTTTAGACCAATGTGGGGTCCAATACCGCCACGTCTGGTCTAACCAGTGAGGTCACTACGGAAGGGAGGAGTGGTGACGCATGCTCCCCTGATGGGTCACACTTGTCTCTTCACCTCGTCATGGACATGCTGGATACTAAAAATTCCAGTCCCCATTAAGAGGCTCTCCCACCTTCCACTCACAACAGGACATCAATGTCATTCTTCCTCAGTTTATCAGTCAGGTTAAAATTTTATAAAACACATAACTGATTACGAAACAAGTACATATTTATTCTCTGGAAGCCAGGCTAAATAAGCAAGCACTATTGCTGTATTCCTAGCATGGGCTAGATCCACAGTCACTACTCAGATCCTAAATAAAGACATTGTCTATAATCATGAATACCAGAATATATGCACTAGTTTTTTTTTATTTATAAAATTATGATTTCCAAATCCTTTTATTATAAACAAAGTTGGATGGTTAATCCATTATTTTCACTACCCCTTTTATAGACCCTTTAGGTTTAAAACACAATGGTTGTCTAACTAAAAATAAACAACAAACAAATAAAATATTAATAATTAAGACCCATAATAATCGATGTAAGCACTTTAAGTCTTTACTGAAATCATCCTTCAGTTTACAGTCACATAGCATGTACCATTTTAATTGTATAACATCTTATACCCTTTTTTGTTTGTTTCAAAAAAAATAGAAATAAAATAAAACAAATTCACATCATCATTTCAGTCATTATTTTACCACTAAAATATAGGATCGTTCCCCATTCTGCTTAATAAAGCTTTTGTTCATTCCTTATCCTTATATCACTTGAATCCCTGTCAATCATACAATGTCTAACCCTAACCTTTTTCATACCATTTAAACTTAATTTGACTTCCATAAATCCTATCAGAAATTGTATTTTCATAACATACATTTTTTTTTCTACTATATTTCTTCCATCTTGCCCTACATGCCAGTTCCTTCTGCATCCGAGTCTCTCACCACTGTCAGCCTAGTGACACTTAAAGTTCCCTCGTTAGGGGAATCATGGTATTTTATTAATTCTTCAATACTCTTGTTTTCTTATCATTAACTTCAACTTTATTTTTCATTATAACTACTTCTCACAGTATTTGTCTCAGTTCCACTTATCTTTACAGTTTTACAGAAACCAAAATATTATGTTACTCAGATCCCAGCCAGCCATATAGCTGCTTTCTCTTTTTACCTTTATTAAATTGTAGTTTTCTTAGACATCTAATGTCATACATACATTTAAGGGATTGAGAAATAAAACCTTTTCTTTTTAGAAGTTATATTCACTCCTCCTTTGTTCGCCCTCCGGCCTTTCAATAAAAATGAGGGAGCTCACTCTGGATAATTTGGATAGTGACTTAGCCAATGTGCCACTTTGTCTCTCTGCCGTCAAGTCTATATATATATATCTTTTTTTTTTTTTTATCCTTATGATCCCACCTAGTTGTCTATTTAAATTTAGACCCTCAGTTGAATTTAGACAAGAGTTTTACCCCATAATGGACGGCAATCTTCTTTACAATTCCAATTTATATAAAATACTAATCCAGAGAGTAATTCAGTTCAATATCATAAATGACAAAAGCATTCATAATAACCAATAGCAGACAGAGCTGGAAAACCACTCCAATTAAAGCTTGTCTCATGTTCTGCATTGTCTTTTCATCAGATTGTCTTAGAATTATCAACTTTTCTAAAGTTGGTCATTTCACTTAACCCATCTGTAATGATAAAACACTAATTCCAGAGGTTAATGACACAATATCCTCAAAATCAGGAAATAATAGTACCCCAAACTAACACATACAAGACATAAAGTGCTGTCACCATCACACGCACTCATACTAGACACGCATATGTTAACTGTTCATTTTCAATATTAATTTTTCTTTATGTTATTGCTAAAAAGATTTAAATTTTAAATAAGATTTTAAACTTCCCATTTTCCGGTAGCTTCTACCTAATTTTACATGGTCTCCCAACCAGTTTCAAAGCATGTCTTGTTCATTATTCATTAGAATTTAACAAGGTCAGCTGGGTTGTTTTGTTTCATTATCATTATTTTGCTTCAGCTTGCTCTAGCAGGCCAATAATGGAAAGACAGACACAGTTACCATCCCTTCCTCTGCTCAAGCAGTCTCTCTCACTATAAATAAATAATCTTTTTCAACAGCCTTCTAAGGCTGTAACTTAGACAAAATGTAATATTAAATTAATTACAATAACCTTTGACCATTCACCTTGTTATCCAGACTTTTCTCAAATCTACAAAAGCTGTCTTCATCTTTAGCCACCACCATGTCTAACGACCTTCAGGAGTTAAAACTATGTCATAGACCTATTAGTTCAAAATCAACACTATGATTTTCCTTGCCCATAAGGCAAACCAGTACATAAAAAGTTTTGCTACTGTCTCCACAACAACTAATGGGAATCACTTCATGGCCTCAGCTGGCTCTTGAAAGCCCACTCCTGTTAGCCCTTTATCTATAATCTCCATCAGGGTGTTTTCCCCTGGCATATTTGCAGACGATAAAAAAAACAAGCCATACAATGAATGCGGTTTCTGGTGATTGGTATTAGAGGAACATCACGTTTCTGGGTCAGACTGCCTGTAACCTCACAGCTCATCCGCCCTAACGATAAAGGATGCTGCTGGCCTCACAGTCATCCGCTCCACTCTCATACCTTTCTCACATAAACACCTCCATCTGGAGATGCCAGTGACTTTACGTGATCCACTCTGGCTTAGGTTGCCCCCTGTCTGGCCAATAGAAGGTCTTACCCGTCATTGAGTAGCCACTCGTGCCCACTGGTGACCGCTCTTTCCCATCACAGGCTGTTTGCTTCAACAGAACTCAGCTGTTTTCTAGAGCTTAGGAAAGGCACGTTCAAGAGTCACCAGAGCCATTCGGATTGCCTAATAGTGTTCACATAGGGAGACAGGTCAGAACAACAGTATTTAATCACTTAAATCCATTAACTATCTTAAAAGCAGCAACCTAGCTACTTGGATTATACTCAGTGAATTTAGATCACAACCGTACATTCAGTGTACATTTCCGTCGGCCCCTCCCCCGTTTCATGGTGGGGACTAAGATCAGACAAAGAAGTTACTGGTCCTAACCTAACCAAAGATGTCACTACAAATAGCTTATTATCACTTATGACACCGACTCAGGTAACAGCTTTTAGCTGACATTGACTGAGAGAGAGACATTGAATGAGAGAGGGACTGGTACACTGCACTCTGAACGTCTAACTTTATCTACCATCTTTTAACTCTATCCCAGCTTAAGGCATCTTTGCCAGATATTACATACGGTTTCAAATAAACATATTATTTATATTTGTCTTTTGCCCACACATCAGGAAATTTAGGCATTACAAATTTCCACTCAGATTGAGTCTGTTGCACTGGCAGTTTCAGCCACAGCACACATCAGATTCAGATAAGCAAACTGTTTCCTTACAGCCAATAACAAACTTATCTTTTGAAAGCAAAACATCAGCTTCTAGTTCTTTCATGGTCAACTTTTCAAGCTGTTTGTTTAATCAGCATTTAGCAACTGTTAATCCAGTACTGCTTCTGCTTATTTGTTCTTACATAAAAATAATTATTCTAGTTCTCAATAACGTTTCACATTTCTCAATCTCAATT